GTCTTAGTGAATTTCATTTGCATCATCAGGCTTAATAATCTCATTGTTATTAAGTTCATAATCAATCCTATATCTACTTAAACAAGCATGGTAAATTAAAGAAGTTAGTTGACCTTGTTTACACAACTTGGTCATATTTTTAGAAAGACTTAGAGAAACGCACCTAGTCCGGAGTCCATTGTATGCATTATAATTTCCTAAGTCGGAACGTGGACATGGTACATTCCCAGACGTTTCGCTAGCATCGTAGTCGGCATCGTCAGTGAGTCTTGCCGTTCTTAGCACCATACTACAGTTCGACAGAGACAAGTGAAGATGATCTTTTGACCAACTTTGCGCTAAACGATTGTCGTATCTCTCTTTCTGTCATGGACTATTCACCTCTCCTATATCCTAATATCACGCCTTAATTATCACAATTTTTTCCTTTCTTATTTAATTGTAGTGGGGTGTGCCCTTTTGAGCGGCTTTCCTTATAACCCTTCACACTCCACGCTGGCGTTCTCACCTTCCTTCACCCTTGTTCTGGGAATGTTGATCAGAGTCTGCCATGTTGTTACGCGGTCCTCTTTCCCTAAGTCTTATCAGACCCTCTCTCTTGTCCCGTAGGATCCATCTGCTATCTCCCTAATTCAAGTATTTCACTTGACCCCTGCCACCCCAGCTGTGCTACTTGAGGCGTTATTACCCTTCTCCTGCGTCTGGGTGGCTAATTCGAGACTAAAGCCTCGGATTTATACTCATGGTCAAGCCTTTGCTATATGGACCACCTCTGTGGTAAAACAGGTCTACTGTCAGCCAACTAGCTCCAGTCTCCGCCACGTCCATCATGTTTCTATCCCTAATACCAAATATGACTTGCTATGCCCTAATCTCTTGTGTGTCAGCCCACAAATATTGTGGTGCTGCTTGCTTTGATTGGGTCAATGTTGAACTTTGTGGGTTAGCAGAAAATACTATGGAACAGCAAGTCATTGACTTGGTATTAGGAATATAAGCAGAATAGATGTGGCGAAGACTGGAGCTAGTTAACTGACAGTAGGCCTGTTTTACCATAGATCTGGTCCATGCAGTATAGGCTTGACCATAAGAATTACTCAGAGGCTTTAATCTTGAATTAGCCACCCAGACGCAGGGATGGGTAATAACGCCTCGGGTAGCACAGATGGGGCGGCAGGGTTCGAGTGAAATAATTGAACCAGGGAGATAACAGACGGATCCTACGGGGCAAGAGACAGATTCTGGTAAGATCTAGGGAAGGAGGAATGCTTAACAATATTAGCAGACTGATCAACATTCCCATCACTGGAGTGAAGGGGGGTGAGAACGGAGTGTGCAGTGTGGAGGGTTCACATGAAAGCCGCTCAAAAGGGCACACCACACTACAATTAAATAATCAAGGAACAAATTGTGATAATGAAGGCGTTATACGAGGATATAGGAGAGTGAATAACCTAGGACAGAAGGACAGATACCACAACTGTTTAGCACACATTTGGTCAAAGGATCGTCTTCACTTGTCTCTGACGAATTGTAGTATGGTGCTAAGGATGACAAGACTCACTGACGATGCTGGCGAAACGTCTGGGATTCTACCACGTCCACGGTCCGACTTTGGAAATTATCATGCATACAATATACTCTGGACTAGGTGCGTTCCTCTAAGTCTTCCAACCAACATGACCAAGTAGCGAAAACAATTTCAAACAACTTCTATACAGCGAAAGAAGACTGCGACCACGCCTAAGGCCACACCATTTTGGTCTTCATATCTTCGAATTTAGTGAATTAAGTTACTATTTACTTTCTACTGATAGTCTCGAAATCCCACTTTATTTAATTATTCTCAATTGATTGTTTTTTTTTCTTTTTTCATTTTTATATTTTGTTAAAATATATCCTTTTCGAGTTAGTATGCAAGTTATAGATACTGTAGATTGATTTAGCTTTTAGATACATACAAATCAATAATATCAAAGATGGACGAGTCCAGAGCTCTTCCGCTTGGCAGTCCTCGCATCTCAACCGTGGATGAGAATTTAGAGGCTGAGATGAAGCCAGAGATTCTCATCGAAGCGGAAGATGAATTTATTGGAGTCGTTACTAGACCCTTAATACTCGAAGCCTCTGAACGCTTGGAGCAAGTTGGAGATGCTCCAATGCAATATCCTGAATCCCAACAGAACAGAGTGGTTGAGCTTATCAAGCAGCGTATTTTTCTGACATCCTATAATCCCGATGATCATTGGACGGACCAGCATACTCGCCAGGTTGAAGAAGAATTTGTGCATGGCGATACGGACATGTTGATTATTAGTCTATCTGCACGTTACGGCTTACAAATAGACACAAAGTTCGCCTTACACAGAAATAGTGAGTTCACATACTTTGTTCGCCAGCGTCCAGCGCAAGGAAAGATACTGACACCCGAGATATTCGATGCTTACGTACAGTTTGGCACAGTGTGCGGTCAACCAGTTGAAAGCCTGATGCGTGTGATGTCGGCTGTTTATGCCCCAATATTTTCTTCTGTGGATACTTGGCCCGATAGTGTACGTAACGACTTTGCTCTACAACTGCAGCGCTTCATGTCCGCTCTAACAGACGCCCGCTGGAAAATGGAAAATAAGACAGTACTGTACATGCCAACAGAAGGCCTCAACACATCTCCTACACTTGCTTCCAAGGACAAGGATCTTGTAAATAGGTTCGAGATGATCGTCATCCATTGGACTAGACAAATCAAAGAAGTTCTTAGTTCTCAAAACTCCTCTGAGGACTTGGAGGGTGCTGGGCCCATGGATGAAATTGACTTCTGGAAGAATCGGTGTGATAACTTGACTGGCATTAGTCAACAGCTAGATAGGCCAGGAATAAAACAAATAACAGACATACTAACGGTAGCCAAGTCCTCCTATGTAGTTGCGTTTGTGAAGTTGTCCGAGGAGATCAAGATAAATACACAACAGGCACAAAATAATCTCAAGTTTCTTAACTCACTGCGCGGCCTTTGCCATGATCTAGCAGATGCCAGTCCTCGTGAGATTCCCAAACTCTTACCCAGGATAATTAGTCGTATTCGCATGATATGGACAAACTCTGATTATTACAACACCAAGGAAATCGTAACTGGGATGTTTAGAAAGCTCTCAAATGAGATAATAAGCAGATGCTGCTTAGTTATCTCCCTTGAGAATATTTTCCAGGGCAAAGTTTTGTCAAGTTCAGAAAAACTAAATGACTGTATAATGTGCTGTGAAGAATACAAAGAAATTTATACAAAAATATCTTATATCCATACCAGATACAGTAAAATACCCTGGGATGCATTTAAGTCTGGAATCTTTGCACAGGTCGATGCCTTTATCCAGCGCTGTCGAGATCTAATTGAGGCAAGTATTCAGTCAGTGCTAGCTTATGGATAAACTTTATTTTATATGAAATAACACTTTACTGCTAAATCAGAGTAAAATTAAAGGCAGCAAATTTACAGGATATTAAATCAAAATTATATGATGGAAAGGTTCCTAAATCTAGTTAAGAAGGGTAACAATGCAGGTAAAAGAGTT